GGTACTAATACTGGACAGTGGTCCCTGGTCAAAGTGGTCCCTGGTCAAAAAAAAAGGTTGGAAACCACTGCATTATATAAAATGGCATTGTAAAATTGTGTACCTTATATAAAATAGTAAAACCAAGGTTTGCATTCTGATATTATTCATTTTATTATGTGAGTATATATTTTCAAGCCATGGATAACCGAGTCCATAGGTGCAAAGAGCAGACCCTAAGGAATGCACACGCTGAAATGAGACTTGTTTTGCCTTACAAGAAATGAATATTTGAAATGAGGGTGGAGAGATTCATAACAAATGGACAGAACAAGGAAAAGGTTTTACATTTGGAACAATGAAAGAGTAAAAAGGAGGCAGAGAGAAGTAAAATATCAGACTAAAAGAGGTTAGGATAGGTGGGAAAGACATAAGAAGATTTTAGATTTCAGAAACCTAAAATCAGGTTTTAGAAACCTAAAATTAACAATATCACTGCTGTGGTCTCTGTCACATTTAAATTGTTTACTGCAGAACATCACTTCATTTCCAACAAGTGAACCCTTGTCTCATCAGATAGCTGACATGGCCAAAAGCGTAGGGGTGCAGCGGATGGTCATATGTGTTTCCATATGTTCCATCACGACTTAAGACCTATTTGAATTGCAAATGAAGTGTTCCAATGCAAGCTCAAATGTACAGGTGCATGAGAGAAGCTTCTGCCCATAAATTATATAATTTCTTTAGGTTCATTCATTTTGCACAAACAAGGCTTTTTCTATTCCCTCTGTTCATGCAGAAGAATGGAGCTCAGTTCGCTTTTTTAAAACTTGTGTAATTTATGTACAGGTTCTGAAAGAATATATTTCAGCTCCTTATGAAGTACCCATTATTTTTTTACATTTTGAGGGAATTTATTGCCGTATCCCCACTATCTTAGGCATCATGCATTCCCTTTCATTAATATCAAAATATATTGTAAATGACTCAACTAATAAAAATGAATAGAAGTGCTATAAACTACATGGCACTGTGCTTTGTACATTTACAGTCCCATATAAATGATTAACAAGGATAATAAGGTCCAAAGGGACTTCCAGTGTACGTAGCGATATCTGCCAGCACACAAAATTTCATGAAAATTAAACTAGATCTTGTACAATGTATTTTTGTTCTTTAGTTGTAGAAGATACTAAAATATTAATATCAAGTATTTTTGATCATAAAGTTAATGAAATCTGGAGATGTAGCACTACCTGACAGGGAAAAGAAATTAAGAATTTGTGATTAATCAAAGGAAATCAAAGGAGCTGCTTTTTCAGCGGTGATATGCCAGCAAAATTAAAATGTGTATCCAGGTTTGTATATTCAAAAGACATGGCACATTTCTAGGGGAGGATACAAAAAGAATAAAAGAATAACTGCATATCCCATGAATCAGGATAAGCTATTGTTCCCCCTTTGGCAGAACAACTGTTGGTAGTTAGTTCGAAAAGGAAAAATGTGGTTCTTGTTGGGGCTGGAACCCTGATATTTTGTTGCCGAAGGCAAAAAAGTAAATAGTATTCCCCATACTCCCAAATTTAAGGGGAACCATGTTATTTAGACAGATAACACATAAAATCTTATAAATGTATCTGTCTTCTTTCTTGCAATTCAAATTCAATGAAGAAATATTAAATAACAGTGAGTTGAAGTGAGTTTTCCGGACTAACACCTCCCAACAAAGGACTTCCCTGGGCAGGAATAAGTTAGTCTTTGAAACTGCAAGACCATCCAATGCTAATGGCCAATTGCAACATTCACACTTGCCTCAAGCAGACAAGAGTTCTTTCTCCTACCCTAGACAGTCCAGAGATATATAAATCTCACTTGCCTAGTTTTCAACAAACTTCACAACCTCTGAGGATGTCTGCCATAGATGTGGGCGAAACATTAGGAGAGAATTGTTCTGGAACATGGCCACACAGCCCGGAAAAAACACAGCAATCCAGTGATTTTAGCTACACATATTAAATAACAATTTGTTGTCCTTTTGGCATCCAAAATCTGCGCTCTGAGGTGACTAGCTTATTCTGAGTTGAGACTGCCTTTGGACAGTAGAAATTCAGTAGAAAAGACACTAATGCTTGGTAAAGTCGATGGATTAAAGAACAGAGGAAGATTTCAAAAGGATCAACTCAGTCCTGGAAGACATAGGACTAACCTTGCAAAACCTGAGCAGACCTGTTGATAACCTCGTTATTTGGAGGTCTCTCATTCATAGGTTTGTCCTAAGTCGAAATCAACTGGATGACAATTAACAAGAGCAACATACTTTTTCTAAGTTTTCTAAGTTCTGGTAAACAATACCATTGTGTGGAAATGCCATGCATTTGAATGGTGTGGGCATTTCTCATAAACATTTCATAATTTGCACACAATGTTCAGAAATAATTATCTAATTATCTCGTTAAATTATAGGTTCATTAGACTCCCACCCTCCAAATGGCTTTACTCTCTAAATTTCCTCATTAAAACTGATGTTATTTCCAAAGTTTAACAATTTAATTATTGTTGTTATCAGAAGTTTTAAGTCTTGTAATGGCTTACTCTTTTTTTCTGAATTTGTTGTAGAGAAAAAGAGGAGCCTAGAAGAAGAAAAGGGGATTGGGATTGTAATATAGCAGATGGTTCTATGAAAACCATTCCTTCTAAATTTGCCTGAGATCTTCCGTGGGAGCATCTGTAAAGTTCAATGTGGTTATCTTCCATTCACCTTTTCTATTAACTGTTGTTTCTATATTACTATGTGTGGGAGCTGCTATGAATGCTTTTGTACTCTTCTAATGTGTTCATTCTTTCTCACATAGTGGCAGGTATTTGGCAATCAAGTACGTAAAAGTTTTCATCACAACTCCCCTTAGTTTTTCCCCTCTTGGCTTATCCTTCTCTCTGCATTTCCGCCCACCTGTTCTTTCATTTCCTAATCTCCCACTCCCTTCTTCCATTCCCTGCTCCTGTAGGTTAAAAACTTTTCAGGATTTGGTTGCAGCTATTATGCTCTTAACTGTCAGCCATCTAAGCCAAACTGGCAAAGTTGATGTTTGGAGCTTCTTTTTAACAATTATGTATGTCAGTCCCTGAACTACTTTGTTTTCTTCTGAATTCTTGCTGAAATTATTTATTTTAATGTTTAATGAAGGGGGCAGTTCAAGGCAAGAAGGCATGTTATGAATTTTGCCTAGTTGTTGGTGCAAAATCTACAAGAATGTATTGCATTAAAATCATCGTCGTGGTGATTTTTCTTCTTCAGCCAGTCTTATACAGTAGAGTCTTGCTTACCTGACATAAACGGGCTGGCAGAATGTTGGATAAATGAAAATGTTAGATAATACAGAGGCTTCTGGGAGTTGAATTCCATATCTCTATCCTGGCAGAGATCAGTGGTGAGTGAGTTCTCCGTCTGTTTGGTTTTCCAGACACAAGGAGAGAACTCACTCACCACTGATGGAAAAAAGAGCAACAAATAAGGAATTGTAATGAAAAGATAGATAGTACACTTATGCACATCCTCAAGACAACTGCCCACCTTCATTCATTTCTCTTCTTTTTTTTCTTCCCATATTTCCTACAAACTCCCATGTAGCCAACTCAGACCGAACCATTGCTGCGCGCCCGGGGGGGGGGGGGGGGGGGGGGGGGGGGGTGTGTGGAAGGAGAGGCAGAACTATTATGCTTTAGTTCAGGGGTCCTCAAACTAAGGCCCGGGGGCTGAATGCGGCCCTCCAAGGTCATTTAACTGGCCCTTGCTCTGGGTCAACCTAAGTCTGAAACGACTTGAAAGTACAGAACAACAACAACAACAATCCTATGTCATCAGCCAAAAGCAGGCCCATACTTCCCTTTGAAATACTAATAAACTTATATTTATTAAAATTGTTCTTCATTTTAATTATTGTATTGTTTTAAAGTGGTTTTTGCACTACAAATAAAATACGGGTGCAGTGTGCATTGGAATTCATTCATTTTTTTTTTTCAAATTATAATCCGGCCCTCCAACAGCCCTCTGTTTAAAAAGTTTGAGGACCCCTGCTTTAGCTCCTCCTTCGAAATCCGCACAGTAGTACCGGCCAAAATTGGGAAGAAAGAAGGAAACTAAAAACATGGTGTCTAAAGGGAAAAGGGGTTGGGGGTGTTGGATAAGAATGTCAGATAACATGGAAGGTCAGAAAAGCAAAGATTGGATAAGCGAGACTACTGTATTTAGATTCCTCCTTAATATACATGCAATTCAAACTGTTCCTGAAATTTCTTTGGTTCTCTGATGTTTCTGCTGTTAGAAATGTATACCAATTAACTACTGCTTCTGCATGCTCATTTACATGGATAACAAAATCCAGGCATAGTGCAGCACATTGCTGCTTTGGACCAGCCACGAATTCTACAGAAGCATTGGCATGCTCTGCTCCCAAATTGTAGCATTGGTAGGAGCAGAGTCCTGACCATTTAACTGGACCGAACTCAGTTCTGCCTTGCTGGATGGTTGCCCCTTACCTTTGTGGTTGTTTGTTGCCACATTGCTACAGAGACCTCATGGCTGTTACTGGGCATCTTTGCTAGTGTCAGCAAAGGCACCCATGTCAACCAGGAAAAGTAAGGGGGAAAATGAGTCTCTAAATGTGAGTAAAAAGGGTATGTTAACAATCTAATTTTTATCCTTCTTCCAGAACTAACATCTCTTCAATCTGTGTAAGACTGCATTGATAAAAGCATGAACGCATTAGGCAATATGAAGCCGTTGCTTCATGCAATAGATACTGGAAGATTTGGTGGCGGGGGTGCTAGAGCAGGATGTTTTAAACACCACACAGATTGTTTCTTGTTCCCCTAAGTTAGCCTTTTGCCTTAGGTGTAGTGGAGAATGTTGTCCTCTCACAGATGGAATATGGAATGGGAAGCATTGGTGGAATGGGAAGTACCACCATCTTTTGCTTCAATTCTGGCTCCAAATTATCTTGAAGAAGCCCTGGATACATAACCTTGGGTTTGGAATCCGGGACCGTTGTCCAAGCATCCTGGGAACCTCTTCCTTGTTGCTGCTATCATTGCTAGCCTGTCAGAGAACTCCATCCAAGCTCTGGCTCTCATGGGGCACCTGTGCAACCAACAAGAAGAAAGGGATGGTGAGCAGGAGCTTGGACAGAGATCCATGACCAACTAGAGTGACGACAGCAATTATATCGGTACTATCTATCCACCTGTGATCTGCACAGTGAAAAGATGGTGACAGTACTTTCCATCTAGACAATGATCTCACCAAATTGAACCTGATTCAGATATTCAGACTGTTCCAAATCCCAGGAATATTCTAGAGTTTCCTGCAAACTCCGGAGTAGCCCCCAAATATGCCAAAAAAGTAGGCAAAATAGGTTTATATCGAAAGCTGCTGTGTATCATAGGAAGAGCCAGTGATCCATTCACCATGAGTACAGTAGGCCAGTGAAAACAAGTGCCAAATCACAGCAATAGTTCCAGGGATCCCCACATCAGTATTTTATCCTAAAAACTGCAGGACTATGTCACAACACACCTCCTTCTATCCAACTCATTGATGCCTCAACACTCACAAGGGATAGTACAAGCCAGGATCTAAACCAGGCATGGGCAAACTTGGCACCTCCAGGTGCTTTGGACTTCAACTCCCACAATTCCTAACAGCCTACTGGCTGTTGGGAATTGTGGAAGTTGAAGTCCAAAACACCTGGACAGCTGAAGTTTGTCCATGCCTGATCAAAACTATATCATACTCTTCAGAAGTGAAGCCACACTTCTGTAACTAGAAAACTAACTAAAAGGTACAGTTGCATTGCAAAAGGGGTAAAATTATTCCTTGTTGTGTTACTGTCATAGTGCAGTGGAGGTGTATCTTTGGTACCGGAGGAAAGGAGCTAATTACAAGTACCTAGAGTTTCCCACTAGCTATTTACAAAATGAGACCAGCAGCAAATAAAAATTCTGAGATTGAGATCAAAACAGAAATCTTTGTTATCTTCTCAGCCCCATTCCCATTCACCTCCTCAGTGCGTGTGTTAATGTCCTGGAATATGCACAGCCAGAACTTGTGAAAGAAATGCCAGGTGACAGCAGATCTAGCAGGGTGATCATATTATGTAAACAGCCTGAGCACAAATACAGAAGCTATGCCACGTGGAGTATTATTAAAAACTAAACTGGCAGAACTCTGGCATCTGCCACTGCTAAACAATGTACAAAATGCAGCAAAGTTAAATGTGTAAATGTAAATGTTTCCAAATGCATTTCTCTTCTACCTTAGTTATTAAGGGAGGGTATCAACTGCAAATAAAATATGAAAAAAGTTTAATTTCCACTTTGATTCTTTGCATGCACACATGCAAACACTTTCTGCATTTTGCCCCTTTGATGCAGAAACAGGGGGAAATAAAATAAAAATACCCAGTGATAAATGTTGTACATCCCACATTCTTACCACTTTAACACATGAGAGAAAAACTCCACTTAAAACCTGGTTTCTGCTTCCTGCAGAATTCCAGGGTTTGTAGTTTACTGAGGCTGTTAAAGGCATCTGATGCTTCTAAAACAGTGCTGTGACTATCTGACCATCCATTTGTGCATCTATCATACCACAAAATACAGTTGGCCTTCCCCATTTGCAGGGATAATTTGATTATTCATGAATTTGATTAATATTGCAAATTAACATGTTCTACTGGAAGCTGGTGCATGCAGAGATTTCTAGTGGGAACACTTCTCCCGGAATCTCTAGATTCTCCAGTCTGATTCTGTGATTAACCTCTGGCAGAAGTAGACCATAAAGTCACTCTGGAAGACCTAGAGATTTTGAGAAAGATGTTCTTGTAGATTTTAAAAAATCATGTTTTTTGTGATCTTTTTCCCGTCCATTTTTATGGGGGGTTCTGTGCCCCTAAGTCCTGCAAAAGTGGAGGGTCTGTTGTACCAATATTTAAATACTGATTATACCATACACAACCCAAAAGAAATACCATATTTCACCAATTCTAGTAAAAGGTAAAGGTTCTCCCCTGACATTAAGTACAATCGTGTCCGACTCTGGGGGTTGGTGCTCATCTCCATTTTTAAGCTGACTCTTCGGCGTTGTCCATAGACACCTCCAAAGTCATGTGGCCGGCATGACTGCATGGAGTGCTATTACCTTCCCGCCTGAGCGGTACCTATTGATCTACTCACATTTGCATGTTTTCAAATTGCTAGGTTGGCAGAAGCTGGGACAAACAGCCGGAGCTCATCCCACTCCCTGTATTTGAACCTGCAACCTTTCAGTCAACAAATTCAGCAGCTCAGTGGTTTAACCCACTGTGCTACCAGGGGCTCCAATTCTAAAGGGCTTCAAATATGGGGTGTGCCTTAAAGTTGATGGAGCCTTAGATCCATGGGTTTCAGTATTTTTCTAATCGGATTACCTCCAAGAGGGGAGGAAGGGGATGAAGGAAGGGCCACAGCCACAAACAGCCCTGCCAATCCAGATTGCTTCACACTCCCCTTTACCCCACAGGAAAGATGGCAATACGGAGCCAATTTGAAACAAAAATAAGTTATTGTCATGCAGAGGAAATTCTAAAATTTTTTTATAAGAACCTTGTTTGTTTGTTTTTCAAAAATTGAAACTAAAAAAGGATGAGGAAGTTTTGCCTTACATTTGATGAAATATCTAGTTAAAGGAAGATAGATATTTTGGAGTTTTGATTCTTTTGGAGTTCTGATTCATTTTGAGTGGTGCATTCAGTGATGCTTATCTTTTCAGATCTTCAGCCTTCATTACAATTTTGGGAAATGCATTAAAACTAACACTCATTTTATAGTTTATGGCACAATAAGAACTTAAATCATTTTTTTCCATCCACCTTTTTTTCTGTTTTATTTGTATCTTCGTTAAATGTCATGGTATGGTTTATACAAGTGTTATGGATGGAGGCTGTTAAAAGTTACATTATTATGTTTAATTATGATTTTGACTTTTAAAAAACAAGGCTTCTTTATCAAGGAAATAGATAAATAGCTGTTAGAACCATTTTTTTAAAAAAAATGTAAATCTAACATCATGAAAGAGTCACCCTGGCTGATATGAACACCAGTACATTCCTCAAGTATAGTGCAAAAGAATGAAGAGGTAGGCAGTGTAGTAATAGACTTTTCCATTATTCCATCTGTAAGTAGAGAAGGCTCAAATTATTAGGGAAAAGTGGAAGAGAACATCCAAAAAATCTACAAGTCTTACATCCTATTTGTGCACCTCCCTTGGTATTATAATTTACCAGAACAGCTAGGACTGCATCCCTTACAACAGCAACTAAGAAGCCTACTTTATAATTTGGGCAGAGATGTAGAGGACATAATTTACACAATTTAGAAAGAATACCACCGAGAAAGAAGAATTCTTCTTCACTTCATTGTTTATAATACTAATTTTCCTTTCTATTTATTCCATGGCAGTAGATTACACAGGAAGCTTTCACAACTGGCATCTTCTTTCTCCGTACAGCTCAAAAAGAAAATGTTCATTGTACCATTTCAGAGCTATTCCACTTAATTCCAATGACTGCAATGTCCAAATCCTTTATACCTAAGGCATAAAGGTAATTCTCTCATGTTTTGGATTGCAACTTGTCTTATTTCGAGACAGAATGGGATAATGGGAATTGTAGTCCAAAGCAACTGATGAGCACGGATTGTGGAAGGGTGGGCAACTATGGAAGGCTAGGGAGGCAAATAAGATCTTGACGGGCTGCACTACTCCACTAAAAATCCTCCCATGATACAGACAGACAGACAGGGACAACCCTGAGGCCTAGAAGTCTTCCCTACAATATGGAAATGCCTTCTACAACTCCTAAAAATAATCTTCAGACATTCTAGAACAAAAATTAATTTGACCCACCCTAAGGAGGGCGGCTGAAAGCCACAAAATCAACATAAGGACAACATGTAGCCCATGAGTTGCATCTGTGCATATGTCTTACAACCTTATCATACAGGCCACTGAAATTGGCATGGATTGTGGCATGGTGGTGTCTGTTGGGGAGCATGGGGAAGCCATCACGTCCTGCATCACCTGACCCACCGATAACCCCATCCCTAGGAGGAAGTGTGCCCCTGGCTTCCTCCTATTGTTGCTGGTGCAATACAGTAAGCTTCCCGCTGCCATAGCATACAGCCCTGCCGGAAGTAGTATTATGTCATGGGATGGGAGCCTCCAGGCTCCATGGCTAAACTACTGAGGAACTCGTGTATGCCACTGAAAAAAGCCCCATCTGATGAGATTCTTAGATGTAACAGGTCTCAAAAGTTCTTCCTCCATGGGCAAAAGAATGAATAGGCTCCCAGTGTTTGCTAAACAAGTCATGATATCACCATAGTGTGAAGTGTAGCTAAGTTAAAATGAGTTTTTCAGGATGATGAGATCTCTTTCATAGTGAAATAGGTTGCCTTGGATTGTGATGGAATCATACAGAGGTTATTATGGAGGTTTTAAAATAGAGGCTAGATGTCCATTTGACTGAATGCTTTAACTGTGTATTTCTGCATGGCAGGGGGATGGCCCTTGGGGCCTCCTCCAACTTTGTGGCTCTTTGATTGTATGAACATAAAGGCAAAGGTTTCCATGAAGGTGAAAAATACTGAAATCCAATATGGAACTTATATGGCAGAATTTTGTAGATGGGAGTCTTGAGAAATTCTCTGAAAATTAAAATGAAAGATTTTTCACATTTTTGCTTTTTCAAAAATCTCACCCGATTAAGAGAGGAAATACTCCCCCCTACATGCACTTTGGGTGCTCTGTGATCTTCTGAACATTCAGATAACATTCAAATAATTGTTTTTCTCTTCTTCCTTCATGCTGGACTTTTATAGAAACCAAATACACACACTTTCCCTTCCTCGTGTTTTATGGAGACCCTGGTAGAGGGCATATTTAAAGTAACCCAGTGAATCAGATGGAGTAACAATTGTGGAGGAAAGTGGGGGAATATCCAGAGAATAGGAGTGTTTGCCCACTGCTGCATTTTGGAAAAATAACTTGGATATGAACAGGATATGCAGTAAAGCTCAGGTGTTCCTGCATATG